AAATACGCCAAACAAGTCGCTGATTTTTGAAAATTTTGAAATATAAAACCAGCAAATTTTTTATTGCCATTCGATTAATCATGTACTATTGAGCTACCGGTACCGTTCAAACATTACCAGCGAGTATATTGCAGCCACACCAAACATTTTTTCCGCATTTTTTAGTGCACAGGTTTGCAAATTCAAGAATTTATTTTCTCAAAATCAACAGTAAGTCTAAGCTATTTTAGACATGCACTTTATTATATCAAAACTGAAAACTCATAATATTTCTAAAAAAATCTAATTGAAAAGCTCGAAATTTTTTACGGAAACTAGTAAATTTTTGTTTTGTAATACTCCGCAAAGATTGAAACTTGGCTTAATACAGTTTTTGTTAAAGATTAAACTATAGTTTTATACAAAAAAATAATTAAAACAAAAAAGTAATAGATAAATAGTAAAAACTTGTCAATATGTTAGTGTCGTGTAGTTATGATAAGGACTGTATGTAATTTCTCAGCTAAATATTAAAACTAGGGTAGCGCGACCAGCATATGACTTCTCAGAACGGTACATAAAATAAAGATGACTACTATTTTCACTCCATTTGATATTTTTTTCTTATGAAAGCTAATAAATTTTCCAAGAGACCAGTTGAGCCCCATTTTTGCATTTTTGTTTATTTGTATTAAGTTTTTTAGTGCAAATTAATTAAATTGAGTGAAACATGTAGGCTACAGTGAATTGTGAACACAAAACGCCAATCTTGAACCACTGTAGGCTGGTAGTTCCTGCTCCTTTTCATTTCTGTTTTGTTGTATATATACGTATTTAGTATGCGTGTATGTACATATGTATGTATGTATGTATGTATGTATATGAGAATGTGTGTAAATCAAAAAATGCAATCAAAGCACGGTATTTCACAGCACGCCATTGAATTTTTAATGAAAAATAGAAAATGCCAACCTGCAAAGGTGTACAAAAGAGAGGAATGTCGAAGTCGCTTCTACCTTTGCTAAATATGTATTTGCGAAGATGGAATATATTAGTTTTTAGTTTAAAAATATAGCATATTTTTGGAGGTGTATGAAGAGGTTTTGACACCTACTTTCAAATTTAAATTTAAATTATTTAATAAGTTAAATTAATTACTAAAAGATCAGTACCGAGCGAAATGGATTTGAAAAGGCTTTATTTCTGAGCTATATTTAACAGTGCTGCCACGTGTTTAAAAAATCAAATTCAATTTAATTCATTAGTTAACTGAAATATGTATCACAATGTCAGACGAAAGAGGTTTAAGAAGATTTTAGTTTGAAAATTCTTTTGGCGAGGGTCGCCACCTGTTTGAAAAGTCGAATTAAGTTAAGTTATGTGAAATATTACGAATTTCAAACGGGCGAGTTGTAAAATAAGCTTTAGTTTGAAAATATCCGGGTTGCCACCCATTCTAAAAGTCATATTTATCTAAGTTAGGCTTTTTTAAAGGACTTCGGAATTTCAAATTTATGATTAATTCAAAGAATTCTTTAAAAAATGCAATGCAATGAAGAATAGAAGTATGGGTACCAAGTGAAAGAAAAATTCTACAGAATTAAGCCTTTTCTGTTCACAAGGGCCAATAAGTGGTGAAAATTAATTTTAGTTTTTAAGCAAATAAAGTTGAGTTAAGATGTAGTCGTGTGTCCTTAACATATATACCTATATATATATTTTTAGTTTTCGAAAATAGAGACTGCAAACTTTAAAGGATATTCAAGGATAAAATTTTAAAAGGGCATTTCTTATGAATTAAAAAAAATTAATATTTGTTAATCCTTAGAGCTTTCTTTTTTATTTGATACTCATATTGATATTCTACATTGCACTGAATTTTTTAAAAAGTTTTTTTTAATTAATCAAAAATTTGAAATTTCGAAGTCGTTTTAAAATAATCCTGACGTCAGAGAGAAAAAAATTTTTACTATTTTTGACCCATAATTTCGCGAATATTTAATATAAACACTTACAACAATATGCACACCTAGGATTCACAAACCAGTGTAATCAGTCCACTTTAGGTTGAATCTTGCATATCAGGTGACCAGCGCAATGAGTAATAAGCAACCTATTAAACCGATTATTGGTCAAAAGTCCATAATTTAAGGATCATTTGAGAATTCTGAGAATGTCTGGCGAAAAGTATATTCCTCTGTCACAGGGTGAACTATGTATTGCTAATTTTTTCACGTTATTTACACACCACAGATTCCCTAAGTCATAAAGACTTGAATTTATAGCGACATGAGAGCGTCGCTCACGCATTCATACATTTTGTATTTAAAAATGCTTACAAAATAAAAATATCCAAATGCACTCAACAGCTCTGTGGCTTTGGGAACAAATGTTGCAGCAGCTGTGCGCGCATCAATTCGCGCGTCATAAAAATTTTCCGGCCAATTGGAGGAAATTGGTGCATACGAAATATTGAAACATACTTATGTATACAAAACATCTGTAATACTTGTATATATGTAGGTATGCATGTGCTACAAGTGCTTCAAAATTATATTTAAGAGATTTTTGTTAAGAATTTTACTTTTATATGAATAAATACTATAGTGCTTATCATAGCTACATGACACCTACAAATTTACAAGTTTGGCCTGTTTTTTCATAATGTTTATTTTTTATTATTTTTTTATAAAAAAAAATATTTCCTCCTTTTATAATACCGACCCACAAAAACAAAAAAATGCCAATTGCATTGAAAATACCATTCCAATTAAGTTTACTTTTTTCAAGCTTCAAAATTTGTGGAATAATTAAAAAAAAAAATAACAAAGTTTCATAAAAGATTTCCCACTTATTTTGTGCGTTTTATTCCATATAAAATAATTATCGGTTATACTTCGTAGGGAAGAAAATGAGTGACACGGCAGCAAAACAAATGCCAAAAACCAACATTATTTTATAGCCAGTTGGGGTTGGCTTTTCATTACATCGGCTTTTTGGGTGTGATAGGGAAACTATCACGAATTTTCTCATGAAGCTTGGCAAGGATATGTATGGAAAATTTTAATAAAACTCAACAACGTTTGATAAAAAAAATTTCGCACCTTCTATAGCACATAATATGGTGGAACCATATTATAAAGTTATCCATCAGACTTCGTATGAAAGAAAATGAGTGACATCGAGAGCAAAAAAAATCAAAACTCAACGGTATTTTGTAGCCACTTTAAGCTTGCACTTTATTATACTAGAATTGAATAGGCGATAAAACTGCATATCCAAAATTTGCTACAAGTTCTGTGTAAAATTTTTATGAAACTTTTTTGATTTTTTCTACTTTTTGTGCAAAGTTTGATGTTTGGATTTGAGGGAATTTTTTATAGAATAGGGTATATTTTTATTAAAAAAATTACATTAAAAAATAAATAGTCAAAACTTGTTAATATGTGGGTGTCGTATGGTTATGATAAGCACTATATGTATATATGTTTGCGTAGAAAAATGTATGAATTAAATCTATGGTAAGCGGTATTTTTTGTTGATTCACTTCTTTTTTTTATTTAAATTTAATTCAATATTTTCCGCCTTGCTTAGGTTTTATTAATTCCAAATAACCTCTGATAAATATTTCAATTTACGATCTGCTGAAGGTGAAGTCGAAGAAGTCCATACTTTGTTTGTTTATAATTATAATTTATATTTGTTTGCTTCTTGAGAACAAAAATTTTACTATATTAACTTAACATGTATGTATGTATGTTCTTTAAGAAAATTATCTTTGATAAACATCACATTGTCGAAAAAAATATTGCTTAAGTAATATTGCGGATTACACACCGGGAACGGCACAGTGGGCGATCTGGCTGATCTAGCGTAACGAAATGCAAAAGTTCAACTGTTAAAAACCACCAAAATTTATTTAATTAATTTCTTTACACTAGACCAGCCCACTTTGCAACGGTTGCGTCAACAAACGTAAGATTTTAAAAAGTTTTTAAAGTTGCAGGAGACACCAGCAGCAACATAATTTCAATGAGCAACTAAGTAGGCTTCACAGGAAACAGCAGTTTAATCAACATAAAATGGTTGCATGTATTAACGGTTACCTCGTGTATAATCAGCACACAAATTTAATTAAATTCACACAAAATTAAAACGCAATCTAAACTACTAGTTGCTTCAGTCGATGATATTTTCATCAATGCGACCCTTATTTTTATCAAAAGCATTCACTTGTGTTCACACTTTTGACGCACTTGTTTATTCACTTTGCTTTTTATTTGCATCTTTAGTAGGGTGACCAGGCGTCATGATTTATCAGGACATGTCCTGATTTCAGCTGACCTTTTATAAACTTTTTACTGCGTAAACATATCATTAGGCGTTTTGTTTTTTTGTACACAACCACTGTGTCAAGGTACAACTGGTTTGTTGCCAGAACTGTGACGAATGAAGATGCCATAAGATATGCTATATGCACAAAGCAAATATTTTTCAAACATTATTTCCAATCTTTAAGAAATTCTTGATTTTCAGGTGGAGATCCAAAATTTTTTTCAAACATTTTTCCCCAAGGTTTGACTAAAAGTTGAATAAAGTTTGAATTCAAATTGTAATCCAAACTTTTCTCTAAATTTTCGATACAAAAAATTTGTGTGCTTTGTTGCAGAATGCGTTATTTCTCCAATCGAGTTATACTTTAAAATCAACGTTGGACCTTGGAATTTGTATTGGATCTCCACTTGATCTCCAACCCAAATATTTATTGGGCTATTGTACTTAAAGCAGGTGTTGAACTTTTGTTGGCGAACCCGAAAAAGATGTTCCCAGCCGACGCTTGCACTTGCCTACATCCCATAACTCTCAACTGAGATCTCTTACCATTGAGCGTAAAAACAATCACTTCAAAACTGAAGTTTGATGGAAGAGAAAGTGATTTTGCTAACTTTCAAAAATGCAGTGACCTGATTTTTCCTTCGGCTCACCCGGTCACCCTAATCTTTAGGCAACTTTTCCCTTACTTATTCTTTATCGCCTCGTCTCGCCTTTCTGATGATGTTCACAATATTTTAAAGTAGTAATTCACATCTTTTTTTCGTGCAACAATTATCCTCACAGCTGTCACTTGTTACTATTATAAACTAGGTTATTATAATTAATTATTTTTATTGCACTTTTCTGTTTTTTTTTTCTTTTTTGTTGTTTATTGTAGCTCCATGAGCTCCCACTTCATTAGAGAGAAAATGTAACATATGTTGTAAATTTTAGATAGCCGCTTTAGCGAACAAATACAGAGATAAATAACTGCGTGTTCGCAAGAAATGCAAACACTAATAAATTATAACTACGTGTTTGCAAAGCTCTTCCCACTACACCACACACAGCTAACCGCGGTCACGTTTCCGGTCACTGCCACGCATATATGTACATATTTATGTATGCAAGTGTTGTTATTTTTTCTTAGCATTATTTGCTTACACACATTTGCATTAATCTGCATAGTTCACTTTCACAGTTTTTATTTAGAGTCCAAAGGATATTCGACCCTCTTTGGCAGTCGCTCTTAGCAACATAGTATGTATGTTGTGCTCCTTTCGGTGTCGTCGTCAATACTGAGTCGCGTGCGAAACATGCTGTGCATTTTATGTGGCAATGCGTAACGAAGGCGATTTAAATTCGTACTGATTCCGGTGTTGTTTATTTGTTATCTATGCCGGCCGATTAATCAGCTGTTTCCTCGGCTCTAGGAAGCTTTCTTATCAGTGAAGCTTTCTAATAAGCTTTTGCTGCCGAAATTTGCCGGTTACAGTGTGTCATTTGGTTTTGTTTTGTTTACATGCAGTTCAAAAAACAGACTTATAACTCAAAAATGTATAGAACTAAATGAATAGCTGACTTCAATGGCCTTATTCGCGTAAATATTCAGTTTTATTTAAAAATCATGTCAGGAGAAAATTTTGGGGATAGAAAACTACTAAATCGCGTTTATTGCTCTATCTTTATTATTTGTAGTCTGATTTTTAAAATCTTCGTGTCGCTGAATATTTTTCGCTCACGACTATAATTGGGGCTTTAAATATTTTGGCCATTAGACCCGTTTTGATTTATAGCGTCGCTAATTTTGTTTTTTACTTTTATTCTATGAAACTACACCTCTCAAAAAATTATGACGCCTTTGCTCAACAAGTGTTGGGCTTTATTCACAAACAAAAAAATTATAATGGTTTTAGTAGTTTTATGGAGGCTTGGGCTAGGTTTTGTTAAAGTGGTTGCACCAAGACCAGTAATTTAGTCAACAAATCGCCGAAAGCCGATAACGAAATTTCGAAAGCGGCGGATTTCGATGCCTGAGATCTCACGGTTATTTAGTTAAGAAGTGCGAGCCAAAATGTTTCCATCTTAGCCTCGTGAAGGCTGGACATTCTAATAGAGAGTGTTGAGATGATTCCACTTTATCTTCCTCTTGACGGCTGATATTTACAAAAGTGATCAGTTGAGATTCCTAATCCTACCACATGAATAAATACAAATCGCACAATGGCCTGCCAGAACCGCCAGAACCAAAACTAGCGAAAGCTGAAGCTTTACAAGCGTAAGGAGCTCTAACTACACAAGTCGCTCGCTAAGCTTACACGCGGCCCGCCATCCAAGAGTATACCGCAGGAAGGCAGAGGCGTCCCTAGTTACTCCATATCTGGTGACAACGTTTTAGGGGTGCCTTTCCTTGCCAGATCATCAGCCACGCAGTTTACCGCCATGTCACTGTGACCCGGCACCCAAAATAGCCTTATTAAGAAGTATTCTGACTCGACGCCGCCTGACTGTAGAGTATAAGGTCACAGAGGGTCCAAACGAATATCCAGAAGAACGATGAAATTATGTCACACATATATTTAACTATCATGATAAAATAACAATAACATTGTTTACATTTAATCCATCTCTTTTGCTTACCTGAAAGCATTGGGTGCATGTAAATATTTGCACACAGTATTTGGTAAAAGTGAAAATAGCAAATTGAACAAGCATTTTCAGGACAACAAACTGATTTTACCGTATGTAGTATTTCATCACTATTTAGTGGTGCAATGAATTATGACAGTTGTCTAGCTTAGTACATACATAAGTACTTATGTACAATAAGTATGGCAGCTGGTTAGCTTTTACCAAAATATGTACCACTTATCGGCCGCAATACAATTCCACAGATAAGATAAATTTAAATGCTACTCGACCATTTGTGGTGACATTTTGCAAAGGCGGAGAATGAAAAGCTGCCTCAGTGAAATTGATGTACTTATGATAAGTGGTTTGTATGTGTGTGAAATTTAAATTTTTATCCAGCCACACCTGGCGCACCACACCGGCTAAGCGGTTAAACTCAAATTAAATGTCTCCATACATATGTACATATGAACACATGCATGTATGTACTTAAACTCTCCTTCTGTACGTGTGCTCAACATCCTCAAATAGGACAACAAAAAGCAAACATTACATCGTTTCCGAAAAACCGCAGGCGTGCTTTGATTTTGTAACCTTTATCAGCTGCATCTGAAATAATTAGTTGTGCATAAATTTCATGTTTTAACCTGGTCAGTTAGACGCTGATGTGTAAATAATGTGAATTTTTCACAGGCTAGAATACGTGTTTAGGTAATCATTAACCCTTAACCCTTAACCCTTAACCCTTAACCTGTTCACTTTTATGCAATAAAATAATCTTTTACACTTGTTTACAGTGTATCAGTTGGCAATAAGTGGTTATAAGTGGTTCTGTTATAAATCTTTCTTTTAAAAATCTGTTACCTTCACGTCAAAATAAAGGATTCGCAAAACTAAATTCAGTATCTTCCTAAAAGTAAGAGTAATCCATTAAATTCATATTTGCTACTAGAACCGTTTGTTGGTTTATGCCGAGAGTAATAAACGTTATCGATTGCCTCTCATCTTTGCAAAGTGTCAGCAGTTGTTTATAGCGAGAGCAGACAGGTCCAATTGCACTTGACATTTCCATTGTGTTCGGAACGTCCTTGCGAGTCGATGCACATTTTCATCGGAACGTGGTCGGTCATATGTACAACATTTCCCAGGCAGCACATGAGTACCAGTACGCAAAGACTCTTTGTGTGTATTGCCAAGTGAAACTTTGCCTTATTTCACCGATAGACCAACTTCTTTTACATTATTTTATAAGCTAGCAAAAGCTGTACTTACGATCATGATATTGATATCTACGATGTCATTGTCATATACTTCTGATGGGTTTGAGATTTGAGCCTGTTATTTAGTACGCTTTCCAACATCAGATTGCAGAAACACATATGTCAAAAACCTTGTTTGGCCTCAAAGAGCTTGGAGAGATTATTCCAAATTTGGACGGAGCTATAATTTGTTCTCAACTTCACTTAACAAAGTTGTTTGTAGAAGCTTTGCAGGGATTCCAAATTTAGAGATGGCTTCACAGAGGCAGTTTCTTTTCGTATTATCAAAAGAAGCTTGAAAGTTGCCAGCATCGCAAGCTCTTCTCACTCAGGTCGTTCTCTCCCTTTTCTTCCTCTTGAAAATACGTCTCTCTTGCCTCCATTTTGGCGGTTCCAAATATATTTAAGTACATTTAACTCTTTGAAATTATATATGAAAGTACATTTGAGTTAATCCTCTCATATATCGATGATCTTCTGCACAACTCAAAATTAAAAAAAAGGAACAGTCCAGCGCCTTCGTCTTGGTCTGCAGGCTGTATCGGAGATACAGCCGCTATATTTAAACGTAGAATACGTGGTATGGTTAAGAGCATATCCAAGTCAAAAACGAAATCACAAACTAAGAATAGAAACAGATCCACATTAACTGCAATCAACATATGTACGTATGTATGTATTTACATATGTACACACGCTGCGATTAGGTTATAAATAGCGCGCCTCTGTTTATCAAAAGCCGCATTACATACGCATGCATACTTTTTGTCTCCTTTCCACACTTCCAACATATGCACGTGTTTGCAAAATGATGACGAGGTGATTTTGTATGAAAAATCATTTATGCCCATATATTTGAATAAAATAAACATATATAGAAGATATCAACCAATACTTCCCATATACCAAACGAAAGGAAAACTCTTGAATTTTTGACTAAAGAAAACAAAAACAAAATCATTCGAGCGGTTTTCGAGCATTTTGGTAATGACAACAACAATCAACAATTTTTTGCCTTAAAATGCTCAATATTTGTTAAATTTATATAAAATTTGTACCCGATAATATTTCTACTGCTCCAAAGAACCTATATCCCGAAAATGAAAGTTATATATGCCAACAATAAGTTGCTAGAGCACTTTAAAGGCTCAAAATTGACCCCAAAATAAGGCAATGTTTACCGTTGTTTTTACGACAGAAACCGAATTGGTTATTTACAAAAATGAATCTGTCGACAGGTTTGGAATTTTATCTTTGAAACGCCACACTTTTCTTTGAAATCGCTTTATTAGTTCTCGTGCAATAAGCGTTTTTGTGAAGCTCTAAAAATTACAACTACAACATTTGAACATAGCCCCCATACCTTAAGGTAAGACGTATTCTACGTCAAAAAAACTTACTACTTCTATGTGTCTCTTGTCTCTAATCCTTGTCTAACTAATGTAAAATCCTACTTACTAAACTAAGTGCCTGAGATTACTTAAATAAGTTGTAAGGAACAGACAGTAGCTAGACAACGATCAGTCCGTTTTTCTCCATCGCATTTGGACTATTTCCTAACCTGAAAAACATGGCGGACATAACATGACAGGAACGGTGTTTGAAGTTAGGAAAAAGTCCTGACGTGATGAAGCAAAACGGATTCAGATTCGTGTTCAGCGCATGAAAATACATACGAATAAGATACTCTGATCCCCGAACCCTGAGAGATGTTGGCAATTAAGCGCTCTTTGCCGTCACTATCGGAAAATTCGGCCTCCACAACGAAACGTTCGATAACGTACTGAGGCTGACCAACTTCGTCGAGGACCGAAACATGGCAGAAAATAATATTATTTTACCTTCTGAGAGAACTCTTCATCAAACCGACATACGCGAGGAGTGGACCCATATTTCCCGATCTTTAACTACTGTCGCCGAAGAAATAGTCGGATTTACGCGAGCTCGAAAGAACAGCTGATACGATGAGGAGTGTCAAGAAGCTGCAGCGAAAAACGCTACTGCCTACTGCTACACACTACGGGTGGGACCAACTCGAGCTATGTTGGACCGTTATTGGGAAGTGAAGAGTAAAGCGATACGTATTCGCCGTAATAAGAAGAGAGATACCGAAGTATGTGAGTGCTAAGAACTTGAAATGCTGGCCGACAAGAAAAACGGC